GTATACCTACCTCCGCAAGGTATAAGACTAGAGAGAACCGACATAGCAGAAATGTTCCCAGATCATCACCCAACAGTTACCATAGGCAATTTCAACGCAAAGTCGCGCGAGTGGAACAGCAGGAATGGAAATCAACCTACAAAGAGAATCATCGACTGGAAAAGATTCCAGCGCACCATTCACGATGCGATAGGAGACATACCACGCATCGAAGCAAGGACCGATCCGGAGAACGCCACCCAACAGCTGTAACAGGCGATCACTCGAAACAATGGAAAGTAACGCGCGGGATGTCCAAACCCAGCGCTTCATCAAGAGCATCTTCCACCAGAAACGATGGAACTCATTGGAATCAAAAGACCCCTGAAAAAACGATATCAACGGAATGGCGCACCAATGGACAAAAGGTGTATGCAAAGAGCGGGCAGAATACTGCGAGAAGAAATAAAAGCAATCCGAGATCAACAATGGACAACCCGTCTGGAAAAACTTAACACCGAAGACACATCTGCCTGGAGAATGCAGAAAACTCAAAAGCCATGCCCGCCAATACACAACGAGCAAGGAATCGTCTACACGGACCAAGAGAAAGCGGAAGCATTCGCGGACAATTTCGAACGAAATAGAAGAAATAGAGGCACAGGTGGAAACGACGGTACGTAGACTCAGAAGACAAAGAAGGGACAATGCGCAAACCCTGGCACCAACATCTCCCGAGGAAGTGAAAGATATCGTAAGACGTCTAGTACTCAGAAAGCCCCAGACCAAATAATAAACCGGGCTCTGAAAGTTCTACCATGAAAGAGTATAGCAGCTATAACAAACATCATGAATGTTATACTCAGACTGCAGCACTTCCCATACCCGGGAAGGAATCCCAACGAACTAGGAATCCTACCACACGAACAGTTCGGTTTCAGATCAGAACATTCGACAGAGTTGCAAGTCCTGAGGGTATTAGACTTCGCGACGGAAGGCTTCAACCTCGGCAAAGCACCAGGGCGATTTTCTTAGACGTCTCCAAGGTGTTTGACAGAGTTTGGCATTAAGGACTTCTAGCTAAAATGATCAACTTTGGCTACACTAAACCAATGTTAACATTAATCGAGTCTTTTCTAGCTGACAGGCGATGCCGCTGCAGAGTAGGATAAGAACTCTCAACCATGCAATTAGTGGAAGCAGGGGTCCCACAAGGTGCAGTCCTTTCGCCACACGTCTTCTCTCCGTATACACAGGAGACGTGCCCAAGCCGAAGAACAACTTTAACAAGTTGGCGCTATACGCGGACGACACAGCTCTGCTGGCGAGATCAACAAGCCAAACGCACTTCACAAGATACTTGCAGCAACAGGCAGATAAATTAAAGGAAGGGCCAACTTGTGGAAGATCAATATAAATCCTGACAAGAGTCAGGCAATACTGTTCACCCGGAAGGAAACGTCATCTTCAACGGACAAGAGATTCCGTGGACCAACGAAGCTAGATACTTGGGGGGTCAACGTAGACAAAAGATTAACGTTCAGGTCTCACGTACGGTAGAGAATAGGAATGGCGAGATCTGCCCGACAAAACTTAGTACCAATAAGAGGTTGAAGAAGCAACATGGGATTGAAAGTGAAGCTGCTGACCGTAGACCGTAATATTACCGATAATCCTGTATGCCTGCACTGCCTGAGGCAGCGACATACAGAAGACGGATTCAGTCGTTTATGAACGCGTGCGTAAAGGCCGCCGTTAACGCTCCAAGATATATACCGAATAGGTACATGTTCCGGGATCTAGACCTGAACATACACTACGTAGACGCATACATGAGAAAACACGCAGAGGACACGTTTGACATAATTCGAGCGCACGACAATCCAGCGCTAAGCGATCTACATAACGTACTGAACAAGGATGACCTCAGATTCCGAGAGATGGTCAAACACAGGAGGCCAACGAAGCAGAACCAGAGAACACCTCCGAGAGTCACTGTCAGGCGGCTCCAGTAAGTATGAAAATTTCTCAACCAGACTCCGAATTCAACTCATTTTCAAATTCATCGAGAAACAAAAATGTTCCCGACATGAAAAAATTCAGTTAGGAAAGTCAAGATAAAAGCAAATAACAGATTAGACAGCAAAAGCACCTGAAGGCTGACTTTCGACTAAAAGAGGTCAGATGTCAATCTTGCTGAAGTGCCCATCAGTAAGTTGAGGACCGCTCCGGAGGAGCGAGGGTGGATGGACGAGATGGGATGATCCACANCATTTGTATATTTTGAATTCGTGTGCAAAATATCCCGTTTAGGTTACACAAACGAAACATTTTTTTAAATTTGATTATATTCCATGTTTAATGTTTCCTATGAATACTTTATTGTTTAATAGGAAAGCTAGGGAAACAAAGAAAATACTTATTGATTTATTGATGTTGTCATTTGTATATTTTGAATTCGTGTGCAAAATATCCCGTTTAGGTTACACAAACGAAACATTTTTTTAAATTTGATTATATTCCATGTTTAATGTTTCCTATGACATAATTTATGAATACATTCACCATTTTGTACTAATCAAAAAATTTTCAATTGAATAACTTCCCAGATGGTTCTCATCTGATTTGAAACGTCTTATTTACTTGAAGACGGAAGCCCATTTGAAATTCAAAATAACGGGATGTCCCGCTGATTACCTAACATTTTCTCTCTTAGGCTTGCAATGTTAAAAAAAGGTAAAAATTTTATTCACAGACTAATAAATTTACTGAATATTCAGCAGTAAGTTAAAGCATTATGGAATTATGTGAATTTCAAACGTAAGCATACTACTCTATCTTTACACATCATCTTTAACAAATGCCATTCCATAATTTTTAGCCGTAAACATATCCCCTTAACGTTCTCTTATACTATAAAACAAGTTCTGCTCAGTAATGTTACAGAAATAAAATACTTGGGTTTACTCCTAGACAGCCCACTTTCATTTCAGCCCCACATGTCAACCATTGTTAATAAGTTTCTGGAAATGCTAGGCTTCCTAAGAAGATACACCTCAGATTTCACTGATAACAAATGCTTAAAAATTCTGTACTACTCTCTGGTAAGATCTCATCTTGAATACATATCTTCTGTATGGAACCCTTCATATGTAAGCCACATCCATATATTAGAACAAGTTCAGAGAAAATTCTCAAGATTGGTCGTGTTTAAATCCAGAATTACTTCTGAGAACTACAAATATAACTATCCTCAACCACATGTTCTCATAGACCTTGAAACACTGTAACACAAGGGATACTAAAGGTGTTGTCCATTGTCCTTCATTGCTATCCAACATCGGACTTTCAGCGTCTCCTGAAGCTACTAGAAATACAATAACATTTTATAAACCACACTTTAGAACAAATCAGTATATTCATTCCTTTATATCACGAACTATAAGAGCGGCAAATAAAACCTACCTCGATTTCTTTACTTAGTTAAACTCAGAACCGCTCACCGCATTTTAAAAAAAAGTAAATGGAAACCATTCAAATATTATCTGGAACATCATCTTAAAGACACGGATTTGCATCTTCAAATTGAGTTTTGTGAATGGTTGCTGATAATAAGTCCGGAAGATCCATATTTTCTTAAAAAAATTATATGGAGTGATGAAGCTGAGTGCCAAAAACGGATCACTTAATCGTCATTATCAGGCTAATGGAAACCCACACCTTATGTGTGACCGATATTTTCAAGAAAGTTGGAGTTTTAACGTTTATTGTGCTATGAAGTACAATAGGATTCTGTGTTTGTACATCTGTGATGAAAATTTAAATTGTGAAAGATGCTGTAACATACAGTGAATAATTTATCAATTGAAGATGCGGAAAATATTTGATACAGCTTGTCAAATGTAGGAAGAGCTTTCTGAATTCCGTTATGGTCCCGCCCTCTAAATGTGCATTTGTTAGAAGCCTATGAGAGCGAGAGAGAAAGAATTCTCAAGTCTCTTCCTAGATTTGACAAGCTGTACTAACAGCCTCATAATCGCGGGAATGTAGGTGTATTACTCGATCATTGGATTGCCAATAATGGGCCGTACCTTTGGCCAGCACGTTACCCAAATCTGTCTCCAATGAACTACTATGTATGGGAAGATACTAAAAATATTGTATATGCAGATTCTGCAACAAATAGGGAGAATATGATAAGAAAAGTTTTACAAGCATTGAACACCCTTGATGCCGATGAAATCAATCATGCTGTAAATAACAAGTACTTTCGAAATTCGTCTATGATCTATCAGTTTTCATCCACCTTTGGAATGATGCAATTGACAACACACAAGTTTCTCAAAGAATGTTTCTTGCAAGTAGCAATTCAGGGCTATCTGAGATACCTTTACCAGTAACGCATATTATATCCTCATCATTCTTTCAAGATAATTTTATAGGCTTGAAAAATGGGTGTTATCGTTAACCTGCTAGGATTTCCATATAAATGACAACACTGAAAAGTAGAAACTCGTCTGAGTTAAGAATTAACAACGGATCGATTTGCATTCACAACAGCAATAGACCCGTCAGTAGAACTAACCACTCATGCTAACTAATCGGATACTGTCTGACTTCTGACTCAGAATTATGCAGAGAACTAGAGTGGTCTTTCAATGTTCCACACTCAGTACAACTGTGGACTACACTTTCTAAGCTTCCTTTCATATGGGGAGCATTGTCCTTGTGTAATAAATTTCACATAATCTGCAAAGACACACCCTCAAGAATTTTTCAGCATTGCATGGGCATTTTCACAAAAAGTATAAATACAATTATTCTACTTATGCACTTGAAGCAGATTTCAAAGTATTGAAACTAGATTCTCAAAATAAGGGTCATATAGTTCAATGACGTTTTTCAAGTCCTGACAAAAAGTTCTAGCGGTTAGTTAAAAACATTTGAATTCAAAGTGTGACTTTTGATATAGCACACATAATTTCGAATATTATAAAAGATATTGTGGGAACAAAATACAATATAAAGAAGTTTTTTTTATTTCATTATCCAATGAAGTATTCAATTATTAGATACTAACTCCTGCTGGGCCGCTGTGATACTCTTCATACCTTCCTGCACAGAACTCAGATTAAACCTCCATGAGTGGAGTAAATCACGCAGTTGTTGCCATTGGGCCCTGCCGAAAGTTCTGTGCATGGTACTGGATACGAAAACTTTTTTTGCTGCTTGGTCCATTCGGGCTCTAACTAATTTCGTTTTCAGTACTGAAAAAAAAATATCAACATTGAAATATCATAAGATAAAACGAATTTCACTCAATAGATGAATTCTTCACATAAAGAATCACAACGCATTACTCTAACAAGTATAGCAGTAGTAAAAGATAAACCTGTTCAAGTCGAAAACTTATTACAATACAATACAATGAATTTTTCAGTGATTTTGAAAAAACACTTTTTAATGATTCAATCATTGTTGTTATTGTAAACCAACATATTTAATACAGAATCACTACTGAGAAACTATACAACAGCTATAACTATACAACAGCTTTCTCAAGCAAGAAGTTTTGCTTGACAAAGGTATTGTATAGTGAAAATCAAAATAAATATTAATAGTTATGATATAGGTTTTCATCAAGTACTGGCCAGTTCCATTCAACTAAGAAACTAGACATTCAACATATATTTTGGTTGAATATACATGTACTTGGATTACATGTTTTTAATGTTTTGAGAAAAATCACATTGGAAAGAAATTGTAGGTCGTAGTTTGTTCTTTAAAAGATTATTTAATATTTTGTGGATCTCAAGAGTTATGTTTGAAAGTTGTAAAAATTTCTTAGGGTTAAGAAGATTAGAATTTTGTGTGAATCAGTGAAAAACAATACAAATAAAATATGTTTGAAAGTAGTTGATAATGTTTTTCGTTGAACGTTAAAAGTTCAGACTTCCATTGTCAAAAATGGTGTTTACAGATAAGAAATTTATGAAAGAACAAATGAAACAAAAAATATTTTAGTTTTTCTTCCATAGATTTCGAATCTTTCAACTAAATGTAATATGAGGCCAGTTCAAAAAATAGGGAGAATTTTAATTTTTCACAAAAAATATTCATTTATTCATCAATTTGTATTTTGCTCCCTTCAAAGTAGTCCCCCTCAAATATAATGCACTTGTGCCAGTGTTTTTCCAATCTTCAAAGCATCTGACATGCACTTTTTAGTATGTCCTTGAACTCCCTCTGCGATTCAGTTTTTGTCTCCTCAATCGTCGCAAAACGCCGTCTTTTCATGGGTCTCTTCAATCTTGGGAACAGAAAAAAAGTCGCATGGGGCCAAATCTGCGTAATACGGTGGCTAAGGCATGATTATGGTGTTGTTTTTTGTCAAAAAATTACGAACAAGGAATTACGAGTGAGCAGGTGCAATACCGTGATGCAAAAGACATGAATTGTTTTTCCATAATATCGGACGTTTTCTTCATATTGCTTCTCGCAAGGTGCGCATAACTTCAAGATAATACTCCTTGTACCAGTGCACTAAGCCACAGTAACCGAAGAAAACAGTGAGCAAAACTTTTGATCGAACTTGGCGTGCTTTTTCTGGTCTTGGCTCTTCTGGGCTCTTCCATTGGAATGATTGGGCTTTGAATTCGATGCCATAACAATATAACCATGACCTTTTCAAGAAAATCTGGATCGCCGTTGACGTCATTCAACACTTCATGAGCGACGATCATGCGACGTTTTTTATTGGACAAAATTCAGCAATTTATAACTATACAACAGCTTTCTCAGGCAAGAAGTTTTGCTTGACAAAGGTATTGTATAGTGAAAATCAAAATAAATATTATTAGTTATGATATAGGTTTTCATCAAGTATTGGCCAGTTCCATTCAACTAAGAAACAAGACATTCAACATATATTTTGGTTGAATATACATGTACTTGGATTACATCTTTTTAATGTTTTGAAAAAAATCACATTGGAAAGAAATTGTAGGTCGTAGTTTGCTCTTCCATTGGAATGATTGGGCTTTGAATTCGATGCCATAACAATATAACCATGACCTTTTCAAGAAAATCTGGATCGCCGTTGACGTCATTCAACACTTCATGAGCGACGATCATGCGACGTTTTTTATTGGACAAAATTCAGCAATTTTGGAACGAAATTCGCTGCCATACACTTCATGCCCAAAATTTTTTGAAAAGATTGCATTGCTAGGCATGCAACTTCTCACGCAGATGATTCAACAATTATATTAACTGCTAAGGATACATTTGACTTGATGAATGATATACAACTAGTAGTGAAGAACTTCACTCAATGGTGTGAGATAAATCACCTTATTATTAATACGAAAAAAATGGTCCTTATCCAATTCAGTAATCCTTAAAAAACACGTCAACAACATGAAGTTCAACTTATGCCACACTGATATCTTAGCATCAGAAAGCACGGAATTCCTTGGTATGGAGCTGCATTACAAATTATGGTACACAAAATCTCCCCTGAATGCTGGAGGCTACTTTTATAACCTGCTTCCTGAATGCATAAAATTAGCAAAAAATTTAAAAATGTTCAAATCCGATCTAAAGAATGTTTTGCTCTATCACTTCTTTTATTCGCTAACTGAATACATTGAGTTGAATATTAGAATTACATCCAATGACTGGTAGGCAAATTTAGAACACTTTTAATATGTTTTATATGTAAATCGTTGGCATCCAACTCTAGACTTATATTTGTATATTGTATGCTCCATTAATTATTTGATATTGTTATGTGTAAATACCTGACTACTCAAACTATTATATTTATCTTATCTTTATGACTACCATTGGACTTATCCCATGTCCTGTAAATGATTTATGGAGATTAATAAAATTACCTATCTATCTATCTAATATTAATTCGACGATTCTCCACAACAATTTTCTTCACCTTCTCAACATTTTCATTGGCTGCTGATATGTGTCCAAGGCGTCCAAGACGAGTGCCATCATTCACATCTTTTCGACCTTCTGTGAAAAGCTCATACCACTTGTAAACATGTTTTTGACTCACCGTATGCCACTGTCAACATCTCAAGTGTTTTTGAGCACTCAATTCCATTTTTTACACAAAATTTGATGCAAATTGATCCATTGTTTCGATACAAGAAAATCGCCGAACACGCAAAACACTTTTAACTTTTATGCCTCTCACCAACAAAATAAACATGTCAAACAGCTGAAACTGTGAACATATGTTCGAGACAAGTGTACAGAGTTGGCCAAATTGGAAACTTTTAAAGGTAAACTAACTGTTTTCAACCTGCATAGATGAAAACTGATGGCTATGTCTGAGAGTCAAATTTTATGAAAAATTTAATGGTGAAAACCGCATATCGATATCTATCATCGTTTTTATGATACAACATATTTTTTGAAAATGTGCATTTTTGAGAAGTTGATGTAACTGTAAAATATTCTTTTGAAATAGGAAATAGAAGTATTGATAATATTTTCTGGCAAAAATAAATAAATAATTAATACCATCTATGATAATAATTAAACAACTTTCACAAATTTTTTAATTTCTAGAAGCGTTCTGATAACCTACTCCTCTACCAAGGAAGCTACGGTGTTAGCGAAACGCGTCTAGAAATAAGAAATGTTTGTGAAAATTTTTTAATTATCACTATAGTGATAATTTAAAAATTATAGCAAACAATGCATTTTTTAAATATAAGAATAATAAATTTTAAAACTATAAGTATTAGGAAAACATAATTTATTTTGAACTTCATTGCTTTCTTCCTTCCTTTGGCAGTTTTATACTATTTATGAATAAAGATGGAAAAGTGAATGTCGAAAGCCTTTTTTTTTTTCAGACACTAATCTCTCTTAAAAAATACCCCCTTCAATTTATTTAAATATTGGTGCTACAGTTCCAGGTGAATATTCTGCTCTTCTAGGATATTTTTTCAATTTTAGATATTAAAAAGACTTTTCTGAGATATTTGCAAAAACAAACCCTTTTTTAGTTCAACAACATTGTTTAAAACTATTTGTTTGCGAAACTTGGTTCAAATTGTAAATTACTCTGAGTGACATTTCAATTATAATTTTTTTTGAGAAGGCGAACTCAAATTTGTCACTTGTGAACAATAGTATTTTTGATATTTCAATTAATAACAGAATAAGTATATCGTCAAAACCATAAATCCAACTGAACGTTATTGAACAACAAGTTTAAACTTTGAAAGTTCCCCACATTTTTTGTACGGACATGAAGGAAGTAGAAAGCCAAAACCTTAAGTTCCCAAAGATTATTTTATGTTGATTAGTAGAAATCAGTGACCTAAACATTAATGGCAATTACATAGTTTTGGTTTGAATATGAGACTGGTAAAACAAAAAGTTTATCTTAATTGAAAACGATTGCCAAGATGGTTGATTGCAATTAGAGTTGTTGATGAAACTAGGCCTAAGAGATATCAGACGAAATAAACATTTTAAACCATTTACGTTTTACTTGATAGTAAACTTACCCTCAATAATGAAATTTTCAACATCATCAGCTTCAATTTGGAGTTCCTTTTCAATAATATCAAATGAAATTTCTGGATTACTTTCTGCAAGTTGCATAAAAGATAGCAACCTCATTTTTTGCAAGTTCTGTTCGTGATTCAGACCTGAAACCAATTAAATTTTCTTAGAACCACTTTATGTTCATTTCATAATAAATTGAAGAGTTAGGATTAAGAAGACTTCTTGAGGATGCTTCTTCTTTTTCTGTGGATATGAAAAATGTTAAGTCTGTCTGTAGCAAAGGAGACCGCAAGCTTAGCAAAATTGACAGTAACATTCTCCAGTTATGCAATAACTTTGACAATATAAAAAACTGAAAATGTCTTCGACTAAGAAAAGTTTCTCATGGAAACTGAAGAGGTGCATGAATGAATGTTTTGTAGTATCGAAAACTGGCATTCTCCAGAAAAATTGATCCAAATATTATGACCAAAAGTTTTCTTTCGCGTGGCTTATTAACAGTTCATGATTTCGAATGTAACTGTAGCAAAGATCGGTTATTTCATTCAAATCAGAAGAACGTTAACACAGTTTCGGCCGAAACAAGTTACACCCTATTGCGCCGCGGGGGGCGCGGCGCAATAGTAAAAAACGAACTAGCGCAACACGAAGATAGAAAACTAGAAATACAGCTAGGGGAAGCAGTAGCGGTCAAAGTGAAACTGAAACGCTATGAAAAGCTGAGAATTTCGTCGGTATACCTACCTCCGCAAGGTATAAGACTAGAGAGAACCGACATAGCAGAAATGTTCCCAGATCATCACCCAACAGTTACCATAGGCAATTTCAACGCAAAGTCGCGCGACTGGAACAGCAGGAATGGAAATCAACCAACAAAGAGAATCATCGACTGGAAAAGATTCCAGCGCACCATTCACGATGCGATAGGAGACATACCACGCATCGAAGCAAGGACCGATCTGGAGAACGCCACCCAACAGCTGTAACAGGCGATCACTCGAAACAATGGAAAGAAGCGCGCGGGATGTCCAAACCCAGCGCTTCATCAAGAGCATCTTCCACCAAAACGATGGAACTCATTGGAATCAAAAGACCCCTGAAAAAACGATATCAACGGAATGGCGCACCAATGGACAAAAGGTGTATGCAAAGAGCCGGCAGAATACTGCGAGAAGAAATAAGAGCAATCCGAGATCAACAATGGACACCCGTCTGGAAGAACTAATCACCGAAGACACATCTGCCTGGAGAATGCAGAAAACTCAAAAGCCATGCCCGCCAATACACAACGAGCAAGGAATCATCTACACGGACCAAGAGAAAGCGGAAGCATTCGCGGACAATTTCGAAAGGCAGTGTAGAGAAAACGACGTCCCATTCACGGACGAAATAGAAGAAATAGAGGCACAGGTGGAAACGACGGTACGTAGACTCAGAAGACAAAGAAGGGACAACGCGCAAATCCTGGCACCAACATCTCCCGAGGAAGTGAAAGATATCGTAAGACGTCTAGTTCTCCCATCACAATACCGAATAGGTACATGTTCCGGAATCTAGACCTGAACATACACTACGTAGACGCATACATGAAAAAACACGCAGAGGACACATTTGACATAATTCGAGTGCACGACAATCCAGCGCTAAGCGATCTACATAACGTACTGAACAAGGATGACCCCAGATTCCAAGAGACGATCAAACACAGGAGGCCAACGAAGCAGAACCAGAGAACACCTCCGAGAGCCGCTGTCAGGCGGCTCCAGTAAGTATAAAAATTTCTCAACCAGACTCCGAATTGATCTCATTTGCAGATTCACTGAGAACCAACACTTGCTCGCGACTAAAAAGACACTCGTCTCCGGTTAGTTTTTGGGGACCCCATGCAATAATTCAGTTAGGAAAGTCATGATAAAACAATTCAACAGATCAGAAAGT